TTGCAAAAGAGAGGATTTTGTTCATGGTAGCGGAGCTTGGGCTGACCCAAGCGTCCGGCACACGTGGACTTTGTGTGGGCTTGAGTTCAGGGGCCCAGGCTGTGTCAACTGTTTCCTTCTGCTGTCAAGTGGTCTTCGGGGAATCTAGGTAGGATCGCAATCCCGGCGCAGACCGGACGAGCCATTGCACCTGTGTCCTAGTTTGCTCGATCAGGGGCCACGACGACGGCCCACGGAATCGATTTGCTGAGAGAACTCCTCTTGTCGATTTACGAGGAACAGCTTTGGGCGAGACCTCAGCCCGAAGGCAGGAGCCGACAGTCCTTTGTGCGCATTTTGCGTACAAGCTTTTCCGCGTGTGAATCTAGAGCCCAATCGTTGCATACTGTGTCTGATTTGTACCAATTTGCAAGCAAGTGTCTTCGAGAGAAGGAGTGGAAAGAGAAATTCCGGTGCCAAGGTGCAGAGATCTGTAGTGCGAACTGCATCCCGTTTTCTGTGCAAGAATCCTTTGTGCACGCCGAGACAGAAGCACCGGACTTCGAGAGGTCCCTGGTTGCGAGTCTAGGTGGTTTTCCTCAGGTTTCTTCGGGAAGTGCTTCAGTGGAGATTGATCTTGAGCAAACAGTGCCTGATCATAATCCCGCGGTTTCTTCAAGTGCATTTCACATTCCTTTGCAGAGTGGTGATCCGGAGTGTTCCATTGATCTTGAGTGATTGAAATGGCTGCAGTTGCTGAAAGCAGTGATGAAGAGCTGGGCGAGCCAGTTGGGCCCGCTTTGCCAGCAGGCCCTGCGATGCCTGGGAACCCGTTTTCCCCTGTGTCAGCTGCAGGCATGCCCGGAACTTTGAACGAGCAGCGTTTAATGACTGTGCTGGAGAATCTCACAACTTTGGTGTCGAGCTCTTCTTCAGGTGCCAGAGAGCAATCGATCCGAGGTCGCGACTTAGCAAAAGTGCTGAAGGCCCCAGAGCCTTTTCGTCCTAAGGACAGAGATGCTGAGTTGTCGAGTTGGACCAATTGGTCCTGGGAACTGGAACAGTACTTAAGCTGCCTGGACAGGTCTTTCGGTGCAGAGCTTCAGACCATCCGTAGGCGTCCGAACAATCCCATAGTGCTTGCATCGCTTACTGCCGAGGAAGCCGATCGTTCGAGACTGCTTTATGGGGTCCTAGCAGGTTTGCTTCATGATAAGGGCAAAAGGATGCTTAAGTCACTGAAGGACAACAACGGCTATGAAGCCTACAGGTTGCTCAGTCAAGACTTGACCCCGTGCTCCCGGAACAGAGTGTTGGCATTGCTTCAGGCGATACACTCTTGGCCTCAGTTTGACAATCGCAGTGGCTTGATGGTTCAGGTTGCAAAGTTTGAGAGTGCTGTCAGTGAATATGAGAATCTCTCAGGAGAGGTCATGTCAGAGGACAACAAGTTGGCAGCAGTGTTGCGTTGTTTGTCTGGACAACTTCGTACTCAGGCGACTGTCTTGATTACCGAGAGCTCTACATATCAGGAGCTTCGCAACCTCATCGAGCGCTGGGACACCTCGCAGACGAGGTGGAGCTCTTCCATTGCCAGCACCTTTGGGATCAGCAGTGCCCCATCCAACGGCCCCGCGCCGATGGAAATCGATCGTGTGTACCAACCCCAAGGCAGAGGCCGAGGTGGAAAAGGTGGCAAAGGTAAGAATGGCAAAGGCAAGAACGGCAAAGGCGACAGGGGTCAGAAGGGCAAGGCTGGAGATGGAAAAGGCAAAGGTGGCAAGTCCAAGGACAAAGGCAAAGGCAAAGGTGGAGGCCCCAAAGGCAACAAGGGAGGCGCTGAGACTCGGAAGTGCAATTACTGCGAGCGCGTCGGCCATCTGGAAAAGGATTGCTGGCTTAAGCAAAAGCATGCCAAAGGCCATGTCAACCAGGTCTCTGAGGTCAGCGCGTCAGACAGTGCAAGCCACGTCGCGTCGGCCAGCACAGCATCCGGTACCGTGCGTCGTGTGCAGGTGTTTGATCTTGGAGACACGACAGACTGGTTTGCGGGTGGACATGTGCGTGCAGTGACGGCCGATCCAGATTGGAAAGCCAAGGCAATCCAG